ATGATACACTTCAAGGAACCAGTAAAGCAAGAACGAACCAAACTCCAAATTAGTGGAAGGTGATAAATAATAAAGATCAAAGAAGAAATAAATAAAATTGAGACTAAAAGAGCAATACAAAAAAGATAAACAAAATGAACATTTTTTTAAAGATAAAACTGATCAACTGCTAGCTAACCTGACCAAGGAAAGAAGCAAGAAGCCCCAATCAAACAAAACCAGAAGTGAAAAAAGGGGCATTACAACTAATACCACAGAAGTACAAAAGATCATCAGAGACTACTGTCAACAACTATACACTAACAACTGGAAAACTAGAGGAAATGGATAAATTCCTGAAAACATACAACCTACCTAGACTGACTCAGAAAGAAATACAGAAGCTGAACATACCAATAATGAGGAGCAAGATTGAATCACTAATAAAAAGATTACCCAAAAAAAGAAGATTCCAGTACTAGATGGATTTGCTGCTGAATTCCACCAAATAGATAAGGAAGAACTAATATCAGCCTTCCTCAAACTCTTTCCAAAAGTTAAAGGGGAGGGAAATCTCCTCAACACATTTCCCAAGGCCAGTATTACCCTAATATCAAAAGCAGAAAAGGTACAACAAAAAAAGAAAACTATAAGCTAATATCCCTAATGCACATACACTAAAAAATCCTCAACAAACTACTAGCAAACTGAATTCAACAGCACATCAAAAAGATAATACAATGTCAAGTTGAATTTATACCAGGGATTCAAGAATGATTCAACATATGCAAATCAATAAACATGATATAACACAACAGAAGGAAGGACAAAAACCATATGATCATCTCAGATGCAGAAAAGGCATTTGATAAAGTTCAACATCCCTTCATAATAAAAAGTCTCCAAACTATGCACAGAAGGAACATGCCTCAAAACAATAAAGATCACATATGACAAACCCACAGCTAACATCATACTGAATAGGGAAAAGTTGAAAGCCTTTCCTTTAATAACTAGAAGAAGACGAGGATGCTCAGTTTAACCACTCTTATGCCACACAGTAATAGAAGTCCCAGCCAAAGCAATCAGGCAAGAAAAAGAGGTAAAAGGCATCCAAATTGGAAAAGAAGAAGCCAGGCGTGATGACACAGCCACTCTTGAGAGGCTGAGGCAGGAGAACTGCTTGAGCCCTGGAGGTAGAAGTTGCAATGAGCCAAGATTGTACCACACTGTACTCCAGCCTGAGAGGCAGAGTAAGACTCCATCTAAAAAAAAAAAAAAAAAAAAAAAAAAAAAAAAGAAAAGAAAAAAGAAAGAAAGAAAGAAAGAAAAGAAAAAGAAGTGAAATTGTCTCTCTTTGCAGATAATATGATTTTATATTTAGAAAAAAAAAGATTCCAGCAAAAGACTTTAGAACTGATAAATTCAGTAAAGTTACAAGATACAAAATCAACATATAAAAATTAATAGCATTTCTATACACCAATAATAAAATAGAAGAAAAAGAAATCAAGAAGGCAATCTCATTTATCGCATTTATAATAGAAAAAAAACTCTAGGAATAAATTTAACAAAGACAGTGACTGATTTCTACAAAGAAAACTACAAAACACTGTTGAAGGAAATTGAAGAATATGTAAATAAATAGACATTCTATACTCATGTATCAGAAGAATTAATATTGCTGAAAAGACTGCTTGAAGCAAAATACAGATTTAATGCAATTCCTATCAAAATACCAAGGACATTTTTTACAAAAATAGAAAAACAATTATAAAATTTTTATGAAACCAAAGAAGAGGCAAAATAACCCAAGTAATCCTGAACAAAAAGAGCAAAGCTGGAGGCATCACACTACTGGACTTCAAAACATACTATAAGACTATAGTAACTAAAAAATCATGATATTGTTATAAAAATAGACAAAGCAAATAGTGGAACAGAATAGAGAACCCAGAAATAAATTCACATATTTATAGCTAACCAATCTTCAACAAAGCAACCAAAACCAAACATTGGGTTAAAAACACCCTTTTCATAAATGATGCTTGGAAAATAAGATATCCATATGCAGAAGAATGAAACTGCAAATCTCTCACCATTTCAAAATTCAGTTCAAAATGAATTAAAGACATAAACATAAGACATGAAACTATAAAACTGCTAGAAGATATAGGAAGACACCTTCAGGACAAAAATCTTGGGTAAAGATTATATGACTAATACCTCAAAATCACAGGCAACAAAAACAAAAATAAGCAAATGAGACTATATTAAACAAAAAAGCTCTGCACAGTAAACAATAAACAGAGTGAAGAGACAACCTGTAGAACTGAAGAAAATATTTTCAAACAGTGACTAATATATTTAATATACAAGGAACTCAACTCAATAGTAAAAAGAAAAAAATCCAATGAAACAAAAAGCACAAAACCAAATAATATCATTAAAAATAGGCAAAAGACATAAATAGATATTATCAAAAGAAGACATACAAAAGGCCCAACAGATAGGTGAAAAATGTTCAAATCACTAATCATCAGGAAAATGCAAGTCAAAACTACAATGAAGAATTATTTTACTCCAGTTAGAATGGCTATTATTAAAAAGAAAAAAAATGCTAGCAAAGATGCAGAGAAAAGAGGACTCATATGCTATAGGCTGGAATGTAAGTTAGTACAGCCACTGTGGAAAACGGTGTTGAGATTTCCCAAGAAACTAAAAATAGAACTATTATATTATCCAGCAATTTCACTGCAGGCATTTATCTCTTAGGAAGATAAAACAAATCCATGTATTACAGGAATACTTGTACTCTCATGTTTATTGGAGCATTCTTCACAAGTTTAAAGACATGGAACTAATCTAAGTGTCCATTAATGGGTAGATTAGATAAAGAAAATGTGGTGTATATGCACAATACAATACAATATTGTCATAAAAATAATGAAATGTCATTTGCAGCAATATGGATGGAACTGGGAGTCATTATGTTAAGTGAAATAAACTAGGCACAGAAATACAAATACATGTTCTCATTCATATGTGGAAACTAAAAGATTTGATTTCATGGAAAAAGAGAATAGAATATTATAGACATCAGAGACTGAAAAGGGTGAGTGAGTGGGAGGGGAAGAGAAGTTGGTTAATGGGTACAAATATAATATTAACTAGAATGTTTGATAGCAGAAATGGGTGACTATACTTACCAACAATGCTTTGTATATTTCTAAGTAATAGAGGAGAAGAGTTGAAATGACAAATACAAACAAGAAATACTCAAGGTGATGTATACTCTAAATATTCTAACTTTATCATTATACATGCTAGTCATATGACAAACACTAACATGTACCTCACAAATATTTAAAATATTATATATATATATATATAAATTAAAAAATTAAGTAAAAATTAGTAAACCTGAGAACCAAGATAGATGTGTAGCATCATAGCTGAGAGTCCACTGGACTCTGGAGCCACAAAGCGTTTCAAAACCCTCTCTGCTAAGACTTTTAAGAAGTCACTTAAAACTCTCTATGCTACAGTGACAGATGTGGAATATGTGAAATCATGAATAATCCTCAAAAAAATAAGTTAATGTGTCTAATACATTTAAAGCATTTATCTTTGTGTAAGACACATAGTTAAGTGATGTTTAAGTGTTTGCAGCTGCTATAAGAACTGGTACAAATTGTCTGGCTTTGCAGATAAGAAAACACAGAAATCTTTTAACAATAAAATGACAGGGCATGTGCAAAGTATAAGCAATATGCTCAATGGATAAAACTATATTTTATAGCTATTGTTCTTGCTAGCAGAAATACAGAAGCACAGAAGACAAGAAATGGAGAAAGGTCACTAAAGGAGATAAGAAAGAAAGGCGGTAAAACTCAGACTTGCTCTGAGTTTTTCTATTCCATTTCAAAACTTGTATTACATTTCTTTTTTCATTATAAATATGTATATTTAAATTTTTATATTTTATATATTTTATTTTTACTTACAGGTTGCTTTTATTATAAATATAAATACACATTTTTAGTGGACAGTTTTGGAAATACAGAAAAAATATATCATAATCTCACCATCCCAAGAGAGTTATTGGTAATATTTTGACTATTCTCTACAAAGCTCAGTTTTTTGCATGGTCAATTTCTACTATGTGCTCTCTGTATCTGCTTTTGCCTGGTCTCCACAAGTCTTACTCCCAAAAGTGTCAGAGAGCATCTAGGTTTGATTTATAATGACTGAAATGTGATTGTCTCCCCAAAATGTTCAACTGATGGACCGATTCACCAATGTTCTCTCATGCTTGATTTCTAACAGTTAATAATCAAAATTTAATTTAAAAACATTTCCACTAATCAATTTCATTTGTTTCATTCATTCATATATGTTTGTATATATATGTACATATATATAGAGAGAGAACCATCTTAAAGAAATACTGTTAGCCTGTCTTTTCTTTCTTTGCAGTAAAACTATTAAACTAAATTTATTTGACTAATAATGTATTTTGTGGCAGTCAACCATAATCATCACTGAGAATGAAACCATATGATCTCAAAAACCTTGTAAAATAGGAGTTACTTGAAATTTCTCATTTTATAGATCTAAAGTGACATAGAATATTAAAAGAACAATTAAGCTTCCCAAATTGGGCCATTATTTAAGGTTATTTGTCAGCATTTTTAAATGGCAAAGGATGTGGCATTTAAATATCCATAAAATAGAAAAGAGAAACTCTATATATACTTAGAAAAACAGTTAAGTATATTGATTTTTATGAAATGTTATTTTCTTACGTAGTTTGTGAAATTATATTTTCTCAAACTATCTCCATTTGGATATTAAGCACTAATAATGTACTATTCACAATTAGAGAAGATTAAACTATTAAACAAAAGAATATTCTATAATAAAACTAAATGCTCTGTTTTGATCCTGAAACAGATGTCATTTTGTTACATGTACTATGTGTAATATTTAAAAACAGTAAGAAGTTTTTCAAAACATACCTTTGCTAGCTTTAGTTCAACTGAATATAAATATGTCTGAAGGGATGCATCACAACAGAGTCTGTATAAAACCGATTCCGCAACAAAAAATAGGGCAGGCAGATGATCATAATCAAAGGGAGCATGGTCCAGGGAAGCATAAAGCATATTTAAAGCTTCTGAAATATTAAAAAAGTAGAAAGTGTAGCATTTAAAAATCATCCTGTTTTTCTAAATGCTTTAATTAATTTCTGCAATTATTTCCTGTCATTGCAAAGGAAATTGCAGTTTAAAAACACATTTACAAATTCTTTGACACCTTTCTCATCAAGAGGTTATATCCATATGCCCTTCTTAAACTTGAGCAGGTCCGGTGACAGCTTCAACCAATAGAATGTGGCAGAAATGACCCTGTGTGACTACTAAGACTAAATCAGAAAAGGCAACACTGCTTCCACCTGGATCGATCTCTCTCTCTCTCTTTCTCTCTCGCTCAAGATAGTAGCTTTGGAACCCTAAGATGCCCTGTAGGAAGTTCAACTTCATGGCATGAAGCAACTGAAACAAGCCACCAAGGTCATGAGGCTAGAGAAAGGAAGAAATGTGCAATGGGGCTCAGCTACTATAGATCCAACACTATACAAGCCCAACACCAAACAAATCACCAGGCCACATACATCATGGTGAAGAAATAGGACAGAACTGGATGACGAAAAGTAGTGCTAAAGATAAAAAGGGAAGAGCAGAAGACTAGACAATCAAGGTAGATGAAATAGGGCTGCCCTGTGGAGCTAAAGAAAGAATATAGAGCTAAGAGCTTAGAGAAATTAGCTTCTCATGTCATTATAAATGTTTTGAGAAGCTTCCATGTAAATATATAAGAATGAACAGCAAACATAAGGATGTGAGGAAAGAAGAACCCAGACATCCTCAAGGGACAGGTAGGAGGTCAGTACAGCTGAACATAACGAGTAAGCAGGTGGGTATCTAGGAGCCAGCTCACGCAGAGCCTTGTAGGCCATGATATGGAGTTGAGGCTCATTTGAGTGTAATCAGAAGCTGTTTGAGTGGAGGGTGGACTATAGAATAAGGAGCAGAAAAGAATACAGGTAAAACACCCATTCAGTTATTTTAGTTGTGAAGAGAGTAAAAAGAAGTTATATTGAGTATTATTTAGAGTTCAATACGTGAATGCATTAAAATGTTTTTGCTGTAATAGAAAACTCTACAAAAATGTCTTTAAAATAAGGAGTTTTATTATTTCACAAGATTAGAATTGAAAAGGTTCCAGGGCAGCTAATATAGCTGCCCTCTATATCCACATTTCTTTCATCTTCTAGTTCCCCCTCATGTGCATGAGGACTGTGATGACTGCACAAGCTCCAGGCATCATGTTCTTACCAAGCAAACTAGACAGGAACAAACAAGGGTATAGGGAGGAAAGAAATTCTTTTTTCCCAGGCAGGTCTTTTTCAAAAGCAAGTCAATAAAAAGTACGGCAAATAGAGCTGTCTTTATATCTCTTTGCTCAGGACCAGATCATGTGACTACCCCTATCAAATCACTGGCAAGTGAAAAGGAATTGCCATAATTGATTTAGACCAGCAGTCCCCAACCTTTTTGGCAACAGGGACTGGTTTTATCTCATAAGGATCACGCAGTCTAGATCCCTCACATGTGCAGTTCACCAGAGGCTTCACAATCCTATACAGGAGAATCCAGTGCCACTGCTGATCCGACAGGAGGTGGAGCTTAGGCAGTAATGCTCAATCCCTGGTTACTCGCAGCCTGCTGTGCAGCCCAGTTCCTAACAGGTCACAGACTGGTACCAGTTCGTGGTCCATGGTTTTGGGACCCCTGATTTAGACCATCCATGGTTCACCCACCTCGGATTGGGCAAGAGCCAGTCCTCCTAAATCACATGACTGCAGGATGTCTAAACAAAACTGAAAGTTAATTGTCAATGAAGAGCAAACAGCCTCTTTTTGCTGGTAAACCAAGACTGTTTACCTCAATATCATTTAAATTCTTAATAGAGGTCAGGCTGTGGATGGCACTCTGTGATGAAGGACCATAAAGGCAAGTTAAATATAAATACTTCTTACTCTTCCTATTGCTTGAAAACTCCTAGATAGCACCACAAAACTTAATTTACATGGGGAAATTCTCTCTGACCTCATGTGGTTAACATTCTAAAAGTATTTTAAAAGGTATATATATACAACTTAACGATAGTGGTAGAAGGAATTTTATTCCCTTAAAAATAATGTTTAATTTTCTTTTTAGATCAGTTAGAGGATGTTTAAAAGGAGGCATAAATGAAGAGTGAGAAATTAAAAGGTAATGAGTAAAGCTTGCTATTTAAAATAAGTGGAAAGCAAATGGTCACTTGATTAATGTATTATAAGAAAGAATTATAAAATGCAGAAACAACTTTCTCTAAAGTCTAGTGCCTATTGTAATTGGAATTCATTAATGACATTTTATATTACTTTTTAATTAGTTGCTAATTTTGGCAAAAAAGTAATAAAAGCTATGCTGAGTAATAGTTTTTAAAACAATTTTGTAACTAAAAAGCTAAGTAGTTAAATTCATAAATTCAATATTATAAAATGAATTTTCATAATAAAATGTATTTCAATAGGTAGTGGAAAACTTTTCTTGTCTTCTGTACAATTTCTAAAAATTAAAGTTCTCAAATTTTGCCTTCACTGATAGTCTAGAAGATACTTAGGATACCTAATAGGAATTTAAAGTACATACCATCTTGGATTTCCCCTTTGCATTGAGCCAGATATATTACTTCAGTCCACGCAGCAGGAAGATGCACATGCTTCCCAGAGCCCAAGGTTTTGAGACCCAATTTTCTCTATTATGAGAAAGCATGAAAAAGACAAATCAAAATGTACATCTTTTTATTTATTTATTTATTTATTTATACCTCTTAATTGTGTTCCAAAAGTCATTCTATGAAGCTAATGCTTGGTGGCCAGAGTTGTATGCAATTTTATATTTTTGTTTTATTACTCAAACTTTTAGATATTTTATGCAAATTGTATAAGTGTTAAGATGTAGAAAATGTTGATATTATGATTAACATCATTAGCTATTTGCTGAAAATAATTCTTATTTTTTACTTTCTGGTGATTACGTCCCATTTCCCCCCAAGGGAATGCATTCTTTTATTATTTTATAAGGCAAAGCACTGAAGAAATTTGATAAAACAGAAGTGAGTTTGATGTTAGTTTGCTGGAAAATCATAGCTACTTCATTGTTGATGTACGGAAGTTAATGAACATAAGGAAGATGATCAGGGTTACTCCATTTCCCTTATTATGCCCACTCCTGGGACTGTTGCAGGGACCACTTGGTCAACTGGAGAAAAGCTCATTGATGAATGCACTTCCTGGCACCTGTCTGCAAACACACTTATCAAAAGTATACTCTTTTAATAATCAAATGTTTTTCAATATGGGCAGCCATGAACTGGAAAATAACCACTAAAACAAGAACAAAAAAGTTGGCTTAATTTATGCACCAGTTTTGTGCAGCTTTTATTTAATGAATTATTCATATCAAAGCAAAATATGCATGTTACTTCTCTGTAAAACTTAAATTGAATCCAATGTGGACAAGACAAAGTAAGGACTTACTTTACTTCCTGTTCTGTTTTGATATCTATTTATAAATTTGGGGATTAATGTTATACTCTTAAAGAACATATTTTTCACAAGTTAAGTGAAGAATAGCTTGTGACAAAGAAAGAAAAGAGTACTTTGTTCATGTATATAATTTTTTAGAAAGGGTTTTTTCCCTTTTGGAACACAGAATATCTCAATTAAATTTTTAAAGAAAAAATAGAATTTTCATAATCAAAAATTTATTTGCCAGACTTAATGTTTAGCTATGGGCTCCTGGATGGGTATCAAGAATTACATTCCCACAAAATTTACAGGGAGCTTTTATTATTTGGTTATAAGCTTTAAGGTTAATTTGCATTAATATTTTACCTATCCCTACTTTTTTTTTTTTTTTTTTTGAGACGGAGTTTTGCTCTTGTTACTCAGGCTGGAGTGCAATGGCACGATCTTGGCTCACCGCAACCTCCGCCTCCTGGGTTCAGGCAATTCTCCTGCCTCAGCCTCCTGAGTAGCTGGGATTACAGGCACATGCCACCATGCCCAGCTAATTTTTTTGTATTTTTAGTAGAGACGGGATTTCACCATGCTGCCCAGGATGGTCTCGTTCTCTTGACCTCGTGATCCACCCGCCTCAGCCTCCCAAAGTGCTGGGATTACAGGCTTGAGCCACCAAGCCTGGCCACCTATCCCTACTTATAATTAAATAAAGATGTATTCTTATTTTTCTTATAATACTTTAGAATATGTAATCAGGTACCAACTAGAAAAGGAAGTTAACATGCTGAATAATCAAATGATGTGCCATTACCTTACATCTGATAATGATTTTTCTAGCTAGTTCCAACAATTCTTTCTTCTCTCTGGAATTTTGTGTTTGATTGAATCTCAAGATGAATTCTGTTGTAACTGAAAATGTTGGCCTAAACAAAAAATTCAAAAATTAACATTCAAAAATTATAGCTATCATTTCCAAATTTTAATTAATCAACTTCCAGTGGCTATGTATAACTATATTCTAGTAAATATTACTTTCTTAATAAAAATGTTTCACACAAAAAATCGGTAAAAGTAGTTAAATTCATAAGTAGTTAAATTCCTGGATTTATTCTGTCATACCCTTAGATTAAGAAACATAATTTTCGCTGGCTTTCCACTGACTGTGTGACCCAAGACGCCTCAGTTAACGACTTCAAGACTCAGTCTCTTCAAAGAAAATGAGAATGATAACGCCTGTTCCATCTGTGGGAATTACAGGGTGTAAAATATGTGAAGGCGCTTCGTAGACTGTATAGTTTCAACTAAAAGCTCGGTGCCGATCCGACTTTCAAGATGGCCGCCTAAGAACAGCTCAGGACTTCAGCTCCCAGTGAAAGTGCAGAGGGTGAGTGGACGCCGCATTTCCAGACGAACTCTTATTGCCCACAGACCAGGAGATACCCAGGCAGAGGGGTCCCCAGCGTCGCAGTCCCAGCCGGTGCGGCTGTTTTGGCCCCCGAGGGGCTAATTCCGCCCGCGCGGCTGCTGTGACCACTCCCTGTTGCTGCGGTTCTCCGTACAAAAGCCACTGGTCTGGGAGCCCTCTTAGCTGGCGAGCAGAGCCTTGAGACGGCAGAGTTGCCCATTCATCTGAAATAGCGAGCCAGGCCAGGAGATTCCTAGGCAAAAAATCCGCCAGGAGCCGGCGCCGCGGTTCGAGCCGACTCCGTGAGTCGCAGCACAGGAGATCCCGGCGCCTTTTCAACAAGCGACCGGAACGCGGGGTCGTTCAACTTAAAAGAAAAGACTCTGAGTCAGGGAGCCAGGTGATCAGGCTCGGTTGGTCCCACCCCTCCACCCCCAACAACAACGAAAACAAAAACAGTAATTGGAAACCCTCTGGGTTGAGCCCTTCAAACCAAGCACAGCTGAACCGGGACGGTCCGGCTCCGTGGGGGAGGGGCTTCCGCCATTACTGAGACTCTCCACCGCTACGGAGGCAGGCTGCCGTTGCCAAGGCAACCTGCCACAACAGAGAGAGTCCGCCATAACAGAGGCGGGGCCACCATTGCCCAGACAGTTCTAACTACGCCCATATAAGAAGGACTACAGGGAAGAGCTCAGGGCAGCTGGGCGGAGCCCACAGCAGTTCAGCAAAGCCCCTGCGGGCAGGCAGAGGCTAGGCGTGCTGCTAGCTGGGCGGGTCTGACCTGAAAAAAAAAAATCAAAAAAGGCAGTAGTGCAACGGAAACTCATAAAGCTCCAACTCCCTGGGACAGAGACAGACAACAGGTGGATAAACCCACAAAAATGGGTAGAAACCAGCGTAAAAAGGATGAAAACTCCCGAAACCAGAACACCTCTCCTCCTAAAAGTGATCACAACTCCTCACCAGCAAGGGAACCAGACCGGATGGAGAAGGAGGGTGATGAAATGACAGAATCAGACTTCAGAAGATGGGTAGTAAGAAACTACAATGAGCTAAAAGAACATGTTCTAACCCATCGCAAAGAAAATAGGAACCTTGAAAAAAGATTGGACGAACTGCTGACGAGAATGGACAGCATAGAGAGGAGAATAAGTGAATTGATGGAGCTGAAAAACGCAACACGAGAACTTCGTGAAGCATGCACAAGCTTCAACAGCCGAATTGACCAAGCAGAAGAAAGGATATCAGAGGTCGAAGACCAACTCAATGAAATAAAAAGAGAAGACAAGAACAGAGAAAAAAGCGCAAAAAGGAATGAACAAAATCTTCAAGAAATGTGGGACTATGTGAAAAGACCTAATCTACGTCTGATAGGTGTACCTGAATGTGATGAAGAGAATGAATCCAAGCTGGAAAATACTCTTCAGGATATTATCCAGGAAAACTTCCCCAACCTAGCAAGGCAGACCAATATTCAAATCCAGGAAATACAGAGAACACCACAGAGATATTCCTCAAGAAGAGCAACCCCAAGGCACATAATCGTCAGATTCACCAGGGTTGAAATGAAAGAGAAAATGCTAAGGGCAGCCAGAGAGAAAGGTCGGGTTACCCACAAAGGGAAGCCCATTAGACTCACAGCAGATCTCTCAGCAGAAACCCTACAAGCCAGAAGAGACTGGGGGCCAATATTCAACATCCTTAAAGAAAAGAACTTTCAACCCAGAATCTCCTATCCAGCCAAACTCAGCTTCGTAAGTGAAGGAAAAATAAAATCCTTTGTGAACAAGCAAGCACTCAGAGATTTCATCACCACCAAACCTGCTCTACAAGAACTCCTGAAAGAGGCTCTACACATATAAAGGAACAACCAGTACCAGCCACTCCAAAAACACACCAAATGGTAAAAAGGCAGCAACACAATCAAGAATCTGCATCAACTAACCTACAAAACAGCCAGGTAGCATCAAAATGACAGCATCAAATTCACACATAACAATACTATCCCTAAATGTCAATGGACTAAATGCCCCAATCAAAAGACACAGACTGGCAAATTGGATAAAAAGCCAAAACCCATCAGTGTGCTGTATCCAGGAAACCCATCTTACATGCAAGGATACACAAAGGCTCAAAATAAAGGGATGGAGGAAGATCTACCAAGCAAATGGAGAGCAAAAAAAGGCAGGAGTTGCAATTCTCATCTCTGATAAAATAGACTTTAAAGCAACAAAGATCAAAAGAGACAAAGAAGGACATTACATAATGGTAAAAGGATCACTGCAACAAGAAGAGCTAACGATCCTAAATATATATGCACCCAATACAGGAGCACCCAGATACATAAGGCAAGTTCTTAATGACTTACAAAGAGACTTAGACTCCCACACAATAATAGTGGGAGACTTTAACACCCCATTGTCAATATTAGACAGATCAACCAGACAGAAAATCAACAAGGATATCCAGGACCTGAACACAGACCTGGAACGAGCAAACCTAATAGACATTTACAGAACTCTCCACCCCAAATCCACAGAATATACATTCTTCTCAGCACCACATCACACCTACTCTAAAATTGACCACATAATTGGCAATAAATCACTCCTCAACAAATGCAAAAGAACAGAAATCATAACAAACAGTCTCTCAGACCACAGTGCAATCGAGTTAGAACTCAGAATGCAGAAACTAACTCAGAACCGCACAGCTTCATGGAAACTGAACAACTTGCTCTTGAATGTTGACTGGATAAACAATGAAATGAAGGCAGAAATAAAGATGTTCTTCGAAACCAATGAGAACGAAGACACAACATACCAGAATCTCTGGGACACATTTAAAGCAGTCTCTAGAGGAAAATATATAGCAATGAGTGCCCACATGAGAAGAAAGGAGAGATCGAAAATTGACACCCTATCATCAAAATTGAAAGAGCTAGAGGAGCAAGATCAAAAAAACTCAAAACCTAGCAGAAGACAGGAAATAACTAAGATCAGAGCAGAACTGAAGGAAATAGAGACACAAAAAACTCTTCAAAAAATCCATAAATCCAGGAGCTGGTTTTTTGAAAAGATCAACAAAATAGACAGACCACTAGCCAGATTAATAAAAAAGAAAAGAGAGAATAACCAAATTGATGCAATAAAAAACGATAAAGGGGATATCACCACAGATTCCACAGAAATCCAAACCATCATCAGAGATTATTACAAACAACTCTATGCACATAAACTAGTAAACCTGGAAGAAATGGATAAATTCCTGGACACCTGCAACCTCCCAAGCCTAAACCTGGAAGAAGCCGAAACCCTGAATAGACCAATAACATGGTCTGAAGTCGAGGCAGCAATAAAGAGCCTACCACCCAAAAAAAGCCCAGGTCCAGATGGGTTCACAGCTGAATTCTACCAGACATACAAGGAGGAGCTGATACCATTCCTTCTGAAACTATGCCAGACAATCCAAAAAGAGGGAATCCTTCCCAAATCATTTTACGAGACAAACATCATCCTGATACCAAAACCCGGCAGAGACTCAACAAGAAAAGAAAATTTCAGGCCAATATCCATGATGAACATAGATGCAAAAATCTTCAATAAAATACTGGCAAACCGATTGCAACAGCATATCAAAAAGCTCATCCACCATGATCAAGTAGGATTCATCCCGGGGATGCAAGGCTGGTTCAACATACGCAAGTCCATAAACGTAATTCACCACATAAACAGAACCAAAGACAAAAACCACATGATTATCTCGATTGATGCAGAGAAGGCTTTTGACAAAATTCAACAACCCTTTATGCTAAAAACCCTCAATAAACTAGGTATTGACGGAACGTATCTCAAAACAATAAAAGCTATTTACGACAAACCAACAGCCAATATCATACTGAATGGGCAAAAACTGGAAGCATTCCCTTTGAAATCTGGCACTAGACAAGGATGCCCTCTCTCACCACTCCTATTCAATATAGTACTGGAAGTTCTAGCCAGAGCAATTAGGCAAGAAAAAGAAATAAAGGGTATCCAATTTGGAAAGGAGGAAATAAAATTGTCTCTATTTGCAGATGACATGATTGTATATCTGGAAGACCCCATCATCTCAGCCCAAAATCTCCTGAAACTGATAAACAACTTCAGCAAAGTCTCAGGATACAAAATCAACGTGCAAAAATCACAAGCATTCCTATACACCAGTAATAGACTTCAAGAGAGCCAAATCAAGAACGAACTGCCATTCACAATTGCTACAAAGAGAATAAAGTACCTAGGAATACAACTAACAAGGAACGTAAAGGACCTCTTCAAGGAGAAGTACAAGCCATTGCTCAACGAAATAAGAGAGGATACAAACAGATGGAGAAACATTCCATGTTCATGGTTAGGAAGAATCAACATCGTGAAAATGGCCATACTGCCCAAAGTAATTTACAGATTCAATGCTATTCCCATCAAGCTACCAATGACCTTCTTCACAGAACTGGAAAAAAACACCTTAAACTTCATA